TGTGTGTGTTTATAGGCGATTCTGGACGTGATGGTAAACCTGCAGTTCCCTCTTGTGGAGACACTTTGGAAGAGTTTCTGGAGGTTCAGTGAAGGACAAAGCAGCGACACAGATACACTCGACCTGTGAGATACATTGGCTTAAAGTACAGTCACAAGTGTTGTGATGTTGTGTTGTGTCTCACTGATGTCTCTGTCTCTACAGTCATGATGAATCAGAGAAGCGTTTGCCCAAGTTGGTTCTGGTTCTGTTGTGTAAATATGAGCCCGTCCTCAACTGGGCTCGCGAATGCGACAATTTACTGTACCAAAGCCTAGTGGAGATCCTCATCCCTGATGTCCTGAGACCAATCCCCAGTGAGTTCTCACAACTCTACATATATCTCTATACAGTAACTAAATAAACTCTATCCTAGTGAGTTACCCAACTCTACACAAACTCTATATAAACTCCATTCCAGTGAGTTACATAACTTTACATAAACTCTATAGAAACTACATCCTAGTGAGTGACACAACTCTACACAAACTCTATAGAAACTCTATACGGTAACTACATAAACTCCATCCCAGTAAGTTGCAACTCTTCACCATCCTTTAAACAACGCTATACAAACCCAATTAATTACAAAATTCTACAGATAAACTTTATATAAACAATATCCTCAGTGAGTTACACAACTCTACACAAACTCCATATATACTCTGTCCCATACAGTTACCAAATTTGCTATGTAAACTATATATAATCATCATCCTCCCGGAGATACACAACACTATACAAACTCTATACAAGTTACAAAATTCGATACAATTTCATTTAAACAAAATGCACAGTAAGTTTCACAACACTACAGTAACTATATAAACTCCATTAATTTCAACTGTTCATCTTCCTGTGCTACACAATGCTATATAAACCCCAATGAATTCTACATAACTACATAACAACTTCATATAAACTCAGCGAGTTATAACACAACACAAACTCTATATGCACTTCATTCCAGTGTGTTACAACTCTATACAAACTCTATATCAACTCCATCCACAGAGAGTTACACAATTCTATTAGACACAAACCTATAAAACCTTGTACTTATTCAGACTCCATGTAAACAACATCCCCAGGGAGTTACACAGCTCTACACAAACACCATTTCAGTTAGTTACAAAACATGCACAAACTCTATACAGACTTAAACACCATCCCAGTGGGTTACAACTCTACACAAACTCTACATCAAGTCTATCCACAGTGAGTTAAAGAACTCTATAAGAGATAATCCTATAAAACCTTACACAGTTTTGCACTACTCTACGTAAACAACATCCCCAGTGAGTTACACAACTCTGTACAAACTCTATACAAATTCTATATAAATTATATTCACAGAGCTACAAAACTCTACAGTTACCAAAACTTTATATAAGTTATATAATATATAACATTTTTCACACTCTATACAACTTGATATAAACCTATAAACTCCATAATCTGTGAAATGCACAATTTGAGAAAAAAAAGTAACAGTTGCTTAACTCTGTGCAACCATACGAAGATAGTGTAAACTCTATATTAAAGGGGTCATATGATGCGATTTCAAGTTTTCCTTTCTCTTTGGAGTGTTACAAGCTGATTGTGTTTTGGACATTAAAGCATGTCAACATATTCTGTTACACCAAATACACAAATAATGATCTTTAAAAAAGCATCATATGACCCCTTTAACTCTATGCACTTCAACAGAACTCAGTACAGCTTAAGATTCTCAACATTTTCTTATAGTTCTTGTTGCAGCAAATGACCATGGATGTAAATAAATACCATACTTGAGATCCATACTGGCTGAATTTGAAATTTAGTCTTCCTGTCTTTATTTTGACTCTTTCTGTCTCTCTCTTCCTGTAGGTGCCTTAACTCAAGCCATCCGTAACTTTGCTAAGAGTCTGGAGAACTGGCTGAGCAACGCCATGATTAACATCCCGGAGGAGATGGTCCGCATCAAGGTCTGAAACACACACAGATCTCCTCTGATTTCTCTCTGTTTTCGGTGTGTTTATGCTAACACAGTGTGTATTGTGTAGATTGTGTGTGCGGGAGCGTTCGCTCAGACTCTGCGGCGCTACACATCTCTCAATCATCTGGCTCAGGCGGCCCGCGCCGTCCTGCAGAACACGGCTCAGATCGCACAGATGCTCAGCGACCTCAACCGCGTCGACTTCACCAATGTGCAGGTAACACGGCTCGCTCTGTTCATGTCCTGTCATCCCCAGATCTCCCTTCAGTTCTTAATTTACAACTGTATATGTGTGTGAGTTTAGGAGCAGGCCTCGTGGGTGTGTGGCTGTGAAGACGGTGTGATCCAGCGGTTGGAGCAGGACTTTAAACTCACCCTGCAGCAGCAGAACTCTCTGGAGCAGTGGGCTGCATGGCTGGATGGGGTCGTCTCGCAGGTCCTGAAGCCATACACCGGCAGCCCGGCCTTCCCCAAAGTGGCCAAACTCTTCCTGCTCAAATGGAGCTTCTACAGGTGAGATTCCTGCTTATTCCCCACTGTACCTGTACACATATTAAAGCCCCCATGAAATCATTTATATTATATTTATAATCATTGAATATTTTAGCCTTACGGTTATCTAAAAGCTAGTGTGCTCCAAAACGATAAAATTCGCATTCAATATTTATAGTCTCTCACTTCCACCGATATGGATTAACGATTTTGATGACTTCAGCTTCTCATCAAACTTTCTGTCCAATTAAATGCTCTCTTGAATCTGAAGCATCCCGCCCCCTACATTATAAATAGATGCTTAAGCTGCAGCTGAAATCGGTCACATGTTCACAGAATTATTTTCTGTATGGTGAAATGAATGGCACATACAGTAGTGCACTATATAGGGTATAGGGAACAATTCAGACGGTGTAATCATGCTTTCCACTTGGGCGAATGAAGTCTGGTTTCGCGTTGCCATGCAAACCGCCACAGCACACAGTCTGCTCCGGTCCAGAGACACCGATAGCCTCGTGGTTAGTGCGTCAATATACAGCGCAGCTGCGTTCAAGGCGACCCGAGTTCGATTCCCATCTCGAGGTCCTTTGCCGATTCCACCCCCCTCTCCACTCAATGCTTTCCTGTCGTCTCTCTACTGTCCTATCCTAATAAAAGCCCATAAAAAAGCTGATGCCATGTTAGGGGTTTTAGTGTCTTTAGTTGTTATATCGCCATAATCTCACAGTGTTTGTGTGTGTTTTGTAGTTCTGTGGTGATCAGAGATCTGACCCTGCGCAGTGCCGCCAGTTTCGGCTCGTTTCATCTGATCAGACTGCTGTATGACGAGTACATGTATTACCTGATCGAGCACAGAGTCGCACAGGCCAAAGGAGAGACGCCCATCTCTGTCATGGGAGAGGTAGACATACAAACACACACATGCATGCATACTGTCAAACAGACAGTCATGCAGCGATTTAACTTTGTGTTTGTTGTTTCAGTTCGCCTGTCTCAACAGAAGTCAAAGGTCAATGGATCCTGATAAAGGTACGTACAGAAACGCACACAGAGACACCTGTCTGATAAATCAGAATATGAAAATGCCTGAGACTTTCTTAAGTTTTTATAGAAAACTCTAGCAACCACCCAAACACTGTAGCATCAGGAAATCTCACTGATCGCGTTGGTGTGTGAATGTGTGTAGATGAGGAGGATGAGGAGGAGGACGATGAGACCGATGAGGATCAGGACATGGCCGTTCCTGTGGTTGTGGGGGAGGAGTTGCTGGAGCCGCCCTCCAAACTCGCCCGAACGGAGCTCTACAACAGCAACACACCGAACTAACTTCAGCCTCTCGGACTGACGTTCATTCACACTGACACTGTCAGTCTGTGCAAACAAGGACTCTATATGCTGAGCTCATTTCTCTGGGAGCCAGTTTGGGATCGAAATACAATCTTCAGTTTTGTTAATTATTAGGGGAAGTTCGGTTTCAGTTAATTTCCTGGAAACACAGAGAAACTGAGCGATCGTTTGAGTTTCCTGAGGTGAATCAGCCCTCAGAGCTGCTGTATGATCTAACGAAGCTTTTCTAGAAAACGGTAACATTCATATGCCTTAAGTAAGTGCACAAACACACACACACATTTTCATTGCCTTCCCTTTGCAAATCAAAGCTGCCATGTGTGTCGTGTCTCGACTCTTAAAGTTACAGTTCACCCAAAATTAAAAGCATTCGCCTTCAAGTCATTCCAAAGTCATCTATCTCCAAAAAAAAAGAAAGTTATATAATGACGAGAGGGTGAATAAATAAAGATGGACATTTCATTTTGGGGCAAACTGTCGCTTTAAAAGTCCTGTTTTGATGAACCTCCACCTGCTCCATGCTGCCATAGAAATCATTCTTTGCCAAAGCCAATCATACGTCACCTAGTCCTGTTCCTCATTAATATTCATGAGTGTGGTCATTTAAGGTGTAGCTAAAAACTACAGCAACAGCAGTAACACCATGTCCTTTCATGCTTTTGACTTGTTCTTTCTTTCTTTAAATAATAATGAAAATTATATATACAATTGTTGTGCTTTAATCAGCTGTTTATCTTTGATGTTTTATGATTCGAGTCTGATGCTAACGGATCAAACGTGCCTTCGAAGGATTATTCAATCTAGAGATCCATAAACGTATAAATAAATGTCAAAAACAATCATGAGAATGCTTTTTTTTTTTTTTTTATCTGAAATCTCATCAGGCCTCATTTGTAAAACACAAGCAGAATCAATTTAGTGGAAATTGTAAAACCATTTTCAGTTATCAAGTTTGGTTGACATGAATGAGATTCAATGTTTAATATTAAATGAAAGCATCTTGATTCATCTGTCATTTTTCCTCATTTCACACGAATCATTCGTTCTACATCCACACAAATGTAGCCAAGCACAAATGATTCTTTTCTAACAAACACATTTATTAGTGAAGAGTACAGAGATGTTTTGTGATTGGACGCTTGGGTGCAGTTCATGAATATTCCGTATCTAATTATGGCGGTTTTGACAGCCAATCAGCAGCTAGTGTGCAACTCTCCAGTGGTTATAGAACCAAATCTAATGTGTGGAACAATTCTGCAGCAGTTTTAATTAAAAAAAGAAAGAAGAAGATATGCTAGTGATGATTATGAATACAAATGTAAGAGTTTAGTACAGGTTTATATTGTTTTTGAATATATATATATATATATATATATGTGTTTTTTTAATTGTACTATAAGAGTTGCTGCAAATGGTATGATTTTAGTTGTGTGAAATTATTCCTGTGTATGATTATGCTAACGTATGATATAGTTTTATGATCTTGTACTGTTGAAACCATAATGGCCTTATTTGAAGTGTACCTGTAGCAGAGATCCATTTTAAAATCTGTATTATTGTGCCTCAAAGTTCAGTGTCCCTTTAAAAAAATCTTTTAAGAAAATTATGTTTTGTGTTTGTTACAATCATGCAGTTCACTTATTTTCAGTGTTATTGTTTACTAAAACCTATTAAAAATAGTTTTCGTTAACTGAAATAAAGCTGAAACAAAATATACATTTTAGATGGAAAAACTTAACATTCACAAATTAATCTGAATATAAGAAATGTTGCCTTGACAATGAACTGAAATAAAATTATTAAAACTAAAACTGAAATATAATTTTTTTTTAACTAAATAAAAATATTTCCAAATTAATGTAAAATACAACAAAATTCAAATGAAAGCTGAAAAATAAAGCTAATTAAAAATATGATAAAACATTATTATTGCATATAAATCATATTAAAATAACACCGCTCACTTTGATGCAATGAAAAGTCATAAAACCAGTAAAGTACTGAAGGAATATTTAATTTTTATCAAAAATAAAGTAAAACGGCATTGCATAAAAACAATATTCTCATCCAGTCCAGCTGTGAGGCCACAACTAGTGTTAAAAAAGGGCAGGAGGGGTCGACAGCTTCTGACTGGCTGATGACTCAATCTAAACGATGTAAACAACTGCATCCTAAAACAAATCAAGCAAACAAATACAGATGAGCCCCAAAGCAACGTCTCATTTCTGTCCACAAAAACATCCTGCTGCACTTTCCAATTACAAGGCTTTTCAAACAGAAAAAGAACTACTTCAGTCCATTCCACAAACATCAAAACAAGCGTGTATAAGTGTGCAAGTTTAACAGAGACAGACGTTCAGTTCTGCTTTGCAGTGGGATGATGATCGCTGACGTGTTTCATAAAATGTTCCCAGAGTGTCCCGCGCTGTGCACCGTGGATCTGCTCGGCCCAAACGTGTCTTTATGTCAATCACACGGATACACGCAGCAAACACGACAAAAACACTCAAGCAGAGCAGCATTGAGGAGTGTGTGTGTGTGTCGTCTCTCTCACAGGACGATCCACGTGCCTCTGTCATTATCAGCCAACACCTGAAGAGAAGAACCTGCAACGAGCAGAATTTTTTTTTTTATTAAAAACATCTTTTGAACAGTAGTGCAGGTGTATTGCTCATGTGTGTCTAAATCAAACCTTTATGCAGAGCCTCATTGGTCATGCGGTTGATGTAGCGCGAGCTGCTCTCGGGAACGAGCCACCGCATGACAGTGTTCACACACGACTTCCTGTAGGAGCTCCACACGCTTCCACTGCGGCAGAAACAAACACATGAGAACATCTGACAGACAGACAGCACGGGCCACGCATCCGAAGGTCATTACCTGGTCTGACCTTTGACCTCAGTGAGGTCACCGACACCGACTGTATGGCACGCTCCAGTGTTCAAATCCCAACTGACCTGCAGACTGGAGTGATACGACTTCGGTCTACACACACACACACACACACACACACAGACAGAAAACAAAGTATTAATGAACATTTCATCATATGTGTGTGTGTGTGTGTGTGTGTGTGTGTGTACCTGCAGTGCTCATCCTCACAGTTAGAGAACGCCAGCAGCAGCAGCCCGATGTTTATCACCACTATATTGGTCTCCGGGCAAACCTGTTGCCATAGAAACAGCAGAACACATGCAAATTAGACCACTGCACCAATAGAGCGCAACAGCGGAGTAAACATTCCATTCATCTTTACTTTTCTACTTCGAATCAAATACTGTAAGGCTGTGATTCTCCTCGTAGCTTATAACACTTTAACAAAGACTTTTTCAAAATCCCTATGGGAAAGATGAACGGCAAAAATACTTCCAGAACCAACGCAACAGAGAAAAAAAAGGGCAGCACTAATGCATTTTGTAAACAAATCCTAACAAAAATGAAACGTGTAACACAGCAGCTCCTCCTGAAGAAGGATCACCTCGAGGATGACGACGTCATAGTCGCTGAAGGAGCAGAACTGGGAGCCCCAGTTGGCATCATTCCGGATGACCTCGTTGATGAGATACTCGAAGTCCAGCGTCAGCTGCTCGACACACACACACTGAGAGAGACGCAAACACACAAGAGATCAAACACAGCCCTGCAGCATCGGACGTGTGTGGGATCAACACACACCTGACCGCTGAACTGTTCCGTCACCGGCTGCAAGTTTCGTCCCTTCAGATCCGTCACCGTGAAAGGAAGCAGGACTTTATCATCCTCATCTCCTACAGACAAGAGACAGACAAGTGTAGTCTGATTTACAGTCAAAAGACTCTTATGAGTCAGTTCTGTTTAGTGAATCAAAAACATATGGTGCAACTGGTGTAGTCTGATTTATGAGTCAGTGAGTGAAAAGCATAGCATAACTGGTATAGTCTGATCAGAAAACAAATGATTCTTTAGGAGTTGGTTCTTTTTAGTAAGTCAAAAAGAAAATGCAGTGTGACTGGTGTAGTGTGATCACAGCCAAATGGCTCTTACGAACCAGTTCTTTTTAGTAATTATAAAACATACAATGTGATCAGCGTAGTCTCATTCATCAACAAACAGCTCTTACGAATCAGTCCTTTTCAGTGAATCAAAAACATACAGCATGACTGGCGTAGTCCGATTCATGTAAAAATGACTCTCGTGAATCAGCTCTTTTTAGTGAATCATAAGCGTACGATGTGACCAGTATACTCTGATTCATCAACAAATGACTTTTATGAGTTGAATCTTTTTAGTGAATCAAAAACATACAGCACGACTGGCGTAGTACGATTCATGTAAAAATGGCTCTCATGAATCAGCTCTTTTTAGTGAATCATAAGCATACGATGTGACCAGTATAGTCTGATTAATCAACAAATGACTTTTATGAGTTGAATCTTTTTAGTGAATCAAAAACATACAGCACGACTGGCGTAGTACGATTCATGTAAAAATGGCTCTCATGAATCAGCTCTTTTTAGTGAATCATAAGCATACGATGTGACCAGTATAGTCTGACGACTGGCGTAGTCCGATTCATGTAAAAATGACTGTTATGAATCAGCTCTTTTTAGTGAATCATAAACGTACGATGTAACCAGTATAGTCGAGTTGAATCTTTTTAGTGAATCAAAAACATATCACACAAGTGGCACAGTCTGATTCATGAACAAATGACTCTTGTGAATCAGTTCTTTTCAGTGAATCATAAATGTACGATATGACCAGTATAGTCTGATGCATGAACAAATTAATTTTATGAGTTGAATCTTTTTAGTGAATCAAAAATATATAGCACGACTGGCGTAGTCCAATTCATGTAAAAATTACTCTTATGAATCAGCTCTTTTTAGTGAATCATAAACGTACGATGTAACCAGAATAGTCGAGTTGAATCTTTTTAGTGAATCAAAAACATATCACACGACTGGCACAGTCTGATTTATGAACAAATGACTCTTGTGAATCAGTTCTTTTCAGTGAATCATAAACGTATGATATGACCAGTATAGTCTGATGCATGAACAAACGACTTTTATGAGTTGAACCTTTTTAGTGAATCAAAAACATACAGCATGACTGGCGTGGTCCGATTCATGTAAAAATGGCTCTCATGAATCAGTTCTTATTAGTGAATGAAAAATGCACAGCATGACGACGTAGTCTGATTCATGAACAAATTACTCTTATTAATCAGTTCTTTTTAGTGAATCATAAACTTATGATGTGACCAGTAAAGTCTGATTCATGAACAAATGACTTTTATGAGCTGGTTCTTTTTAGTGAATCACAAAACACAGTGTGTCCGGCAGAGTCCGATTCATAAACAAATGACTCCGGTTCTTGTAATTAACAGTTCAAAAAGACAAGCTACTGGTTTGAATCATTCTTATTCATCACTGAACCTAATATATCAGATCGGTTTCTGAATCTAAATCTGACTCCAAGTTTTGGGTGGGTGTGTGTGTGTGTCTGTAATGTCAAGAACAGATGAGAAATGTCGTACCGCTCGGCTGCTCTGACGCTCTGGCCTGCGGTAGTCTGTATCTGAGAGTGGTGTAGTTGATGTAAGCAGGCTCCGAGGAGGAAGAGGAGGATGAAGGCTCATGAGCATGTGGAGACAGAGAGGAGACGGAGGAGGTGGATCCAGGAGACATGACTGTGTTACACACAGCACTGCCCTCTGCCTCTGTGGGCGGCACTGAACTTTGGTTCTGTCCTGAGGAGGAAGACGAGGGTCCCGGGACCTCTGCGTCTCGTTCCTGTCTCTCTCTCGGTCGCTCCTCCTCGCTGTGGAATCGCTGGGTGTCCGTCTCTTCTTTCTCTTTGGTTTTTCTGTCGTGTTCCCTCACTCCAGCCTGAGCTCGGCGGAAAATGTCAGCGGCGAACTCTCTGGCCCGCACGGCCGCCTGTGATTGGCCGGAGGAGAGCGGGGTGAAATGAGGCTTTGACTGTCTGAGGTCAGGTGACCCCTGAGACGAGGTTGATG